GTTAGACTTGAGGAGAACAAAACTTTGGTCTTCACTGTGGACACACTACTGGGTGCTCCAAAGACATGGCCTCTCCCTGGATGGGTCCTGAGGAGAGCAAAGCTCTGGTTCTAACTGTAACACTGTCCCTAGACTTTGACTCAGACCCTAAACCCTGGTCTATACCCTGGTCCCTAATTCTGACCCTGACTTTAACCCCAACTTTTATCTTGACACTGACCATGACCCCATCTCTAACCATACTTCCAGCCCTGACCCAGACCCAGACCCTAATTTTAACCCTAACCCTATTATTATCTTTACAATCTATCTCCAATCTTACCCTCTAGTGCTAAACAGTGTACCTAAAAGCACTTTTGGATTATTTAACTTCTTTTCCTTGAATTCTTTATGGATATCCTAAAGGAGATATCATGTATTTTGCAGTCCCTCTGAGTGGTATGGCTTCAGATAATAAGTTCTAATACTTGTAAGACATAAGAATTGTGAAGGGTAACAGCACTGGGTTGTTAGGAATGCATGCTGGCATTCACGATAGTCATTGGTGTTATTCTCCAAATATTTTCAGTTCATTTTTTATGAATGCATTCTGACTGTTCCATCTCACCTACTTAAATTTTTGCATGGCCACATGACTTTTTTTTTCTTCTTGCTATTGGATGTGAGGAGAAATAATATATGACTTTTTCAGGAGAAATCTCAAGAAACTGTTCTATCCAGTATGCCTTTTGTCTTTTCTATGGCAATGGGGATCTTATTGATGGTACCTCCTTCAGCCTTGATTCCTGTGTTAGGATGAAACAGCACAGAGCTACCTCTTACCTGACCCATGATGAAATGCAAATAAATGAGGAAGAAGATTTTGGAGCCACTGAAGCTTGGAGGTTGTTTCCCACCATGGTTTAACCTAGCCCCCACTGACTGATGCAGGGCTGAAGAATGAGTCAGAACTGGATCTTGACCTGTGAAGTGCACTCCTCCAGGCTAAGTAAAATTCAAGTCTTGTTGCAAAGATAACAGTGAGCATGATGTGTTATTAGGGTGAGCGTGGGATAAATAAGGTATGTCAAGTGAGAATAATGAGAAACTCAACTTTAAACGACAGTGCTAATTTGGACTGTGGAGAGATTCCAATGTCTTACTTAGCATGTGAGATTGTGATGGCTGAACAAACTCATTAAGAACCCTAAATGAAGGCTTGGGATAAATATCCGAGGGTGTCTAATATACCAATTATTCATCCTAGAATGGGCAGAGTCCTTGACCTCATTCTAGGGAGACTTCCAAAAGAAAAAAGACCTGCATTTCTCCAACAACCCACATTGAGAGACTTTCCTGCACTTTTGACCTGTGGCTAACACTCCTCACCTTTCATTCTGTCCTCAGTGTTTTGGGGAAACACCTTTAACTCTCTATGATTTACAGGTTATTAAGTGGCCCTTATTAATTCCCTCCAGAGACAGAAAGGACTAATGATGAGGGAGTCTGAGCTCACAGCAGCAAGTAGACATGTGTGCTCAGCAGCCATGTGGCTCATCTTCTAGGAGATTACTATATATGATGTTTTGCAACTTTGTTTAACACAAGGGGACACTCTACTGACTCAGAGGATTTAACTGCTTACGTACTTCTTTTTCTGCCCTCTTGGTCTCCTAAAATGAAAAGAACTCTGAGGTGATACAATGAGTCAAAGGAGTGCCAACTGTATCACAGCAAAATAAAGATCCCTAAAAAATCCCTGGCCTAAGATGACAGCCTTGGCTGGGTAAGTCTGAACGTGCTGACAGTGGATATGGGGGAGTGAAGGTGGTGAAAATGTTCACATTAAAGAATTTCCACACAGATTGCAAGGAAAGAGAGAGAAATGGAGATGGCAGCGCGAGTCCCTACAATAAAAGCAGATATCTTGAGATCAGTTATATTTATTCTGACAAAAATTAGAGACAGAAACCAAAGTTTAGCCTGAGGCTGCAATTAATTGGACAATAAGCCAGAGGCACATGTGGCATAGTCAGATCTAAACATTTCTCTCCTATATTAATATAAATACTAAAGTAATATTATATAAACACTCGGGTCTGCAGTAGTATTTAAAGGAGATCTCACAAATAGGTTTGGCTTTTGAAGATGAGTACTGATGGTCCAGAGAATTCATTTTGTTTGAGAGAGAGAAAGAGAAGAATTTCTTGGGTCCCTTCAGGAATGCGTCTGGCTTTGCCTCATTTTGTATGTTTGAACTATGCATATGGCAGAAGAAAACATGAGGATTTCACAGATTTAAGGTGTGAAAAGTCACTGGGTGCTTTAAGAAGCCTGGGATTCTTCCGCTGGAAAAATAAGCTCATTGACACAAAATGAGTTGGAGAAGGCTGTTATTGAAGTGAAGCAGAATTGCTTTTACTAATCTGCTTATTACGCTCACCCTCACTCCCACTCCTACCCCCACCTTCACCTCTAACCCTAAACCCTAACCCCATGACCCTAACTCTAATCCTACCCCAATCCCTAATCCTACCCTTTAGCCCTGACCCTTAACCCCAACACCCAAACCTCAACACCAACCCTAACCTTAACCCCTAACCCTAATCCTACCCTTATTCCTAACCTTAACGCTTTACATCTGCCCAGATTCTCCAGAAGCAGGGACCTTTGGCTCCCAGCTGTGCACCACTGCATCTGGCACAGGACTCCGCAGCAGTCCCCAAATAGGCACCTGAATGCCCACTGTGCCAGCCATGCAGTGGAAGCCCAGGATGTATTCTCACCTCCAGAACCAGGGCCCAGTGCCTACATCAGGCTGCTCAGGGCTGAAGTGAGCTGGGACACCCATGGTCTTCATAAGACCAAGGCTATCTTGTGCCTCCTGTCACAGAGTGAGATGCAGACTGAGCAGCACTGCACTCCCACTCCTTCCCTCCACGGTAGATCCGCAACCTTATAAGTAAGGGACATTTCCCTGATGATACTGCAAGCACAAAGCACTGGACTTTCACACAGTGAGGCTGTACACATTATGCTGTTTAGATGCCCACCTAGGCCACTGGGAGAAAGGGTGGTAGAGGGACCCTCATGTTGCCCTGTGGTATACATGCTCTGGTTTATATGACTGCAAGCCATTTACGAGAAACTCAACCTGAAACACTACTGGTTTCCGATATTTTGTTGGCAGGGTATTTACAATTTACACTCCCAAACAAGCTAGCCACAAATCACACTGACTACCTCCCCTATTAAGTTGTTCTGAGGGCCTCCACATCAGTCCTAGAAATGGAAGATTGGTGAAGAACTGGGATGTTAATAGGGTACCGGCTACTTGCTGGACACCAACATTCCCTTACCTAAGCTTCAAGATAGCCCAGATCCTGCCTGACCAAACCAGACATTTTAACGCACAGAACTCTCAATAGCAGGACTTACAGATGCAAAACTCGAAGGCAAAGGATTGTCTCAACTTCTTGATGTCTGAAGGAACTGAAACACTGCCTAGCACAGGTGCACCATCAACCGTATCACTAAACAAAACTCCATATTTTATTCATCTTTGTGGAAATGATGTGATAAACACATTGGACTAAAGACCTTTGAGATCTCTTCACGGGATTCTATCTGGTGGACCCCCAGATCTGCCAACACAGAGGAGGCATCTATAAATGTGCAGGACAGAGGCCAGACAAAACTGTCTCTCTCATCCTCAAAGTGGCCTGGCAGTCACAGGAACGCCATGTGGGGTCTGGGATGTACAACGAGTCAAGCTTTCGGCTTGAGGCACCCCACTACACCTGCAAAACCAAGTTGTGCTCACAAAGAAAAATCAGCCAGCCTACTCTCCCTAATGAAAGATTCTGCCCAGGGCCTGCAAACTTAGGGGGATAACTCCTTACTCCTCAGGCCCAGCCCCAAGGTACAAGACCACTTGCACGAGCAGCATGGGTCAGCAAGAGAGCAGAAGCCATAAGAGGGCAGGCTGGAAGATAATACCTCCTGAAGATCAAGAGAAAGGCCGTCTAGGTCCCACGTAGTAGTTACGTCAGACTGGAACACTTCCCATTTACAGGAGACTAGAAAACCCCTGCCTCATCCTCACTTGGGGCTGATGCCATTTTAGGCCTCAGCCCGTCTGCACCCAGGCGCTCATTAAAATAGCATGTTGCTCCACACTGCCTCGAGTTGTTTGTTGGTGCTCTCAGGGTTCGAACCAATAATAGAGCTTTGCACTTAATATCCCAGGTAGTAATCCAAGAGCAATATCTGCTTGACACCCCTCCTCACCCTCCATATCCAAGTGATCACCAATTATGCAAGCCGGCCAGGCAAGGCGACTTACGTCTGTAAGCCCAGTACTTTAGGAGGCTGAGGCATGTGGATCACCTGATGTCAGGAGTTTGAGACTGGTCTGGCCAACACTGGAAAACCCTGTCTCTACTAGAAATTCAAAAATTAGCCAGGCGTGGTGGCAGGCATCTGTAATTCCAGCTACTGGGGAGACTGAGGCAGGAGAATCACTTGAACTTGGGAGGCACAGAATGCAGTGAGCCAAGCTCGTGCCACTTCATTCCAGCCTGGGCAACAGAGCAAGACTCCATCTCAAAAGAAAAGAAAAGAAAAGAATTAGTATAGTTTTGTTGCCAGAAAAGGGGTCTTGTCCCAGACACCAAGAACGGGTTTTTAGATCTCACACGAGTTGGAATTTTTGGCAAGTTACAGAGTCTAGTGGCGTTAAGAGAGTTTATTAGCCACTACTCAGTTATAGAGCAGGGAGTCCTCAGAAAGCAAGAGGAGGAACACACTTGTTTTAAAGAAAAAAAAAAACTTTTTAAAGACAGTTTTGCTCTAGTCACAATGACATGATCTCGGCTCACAACAACCTCTGCTTCCTGGGTTTAAGAATTCTCCTTCCTCTACCTCCCAAGTAGTTGATATTACAGGTGTGCACCACCATGACCAGCTAATATTTTTCTATTTCTGTTCCATTTTTTTTTTAATTAATTTTTTAAATTCAGTCCCCGTAGAGACTGCCAAAAATTGCAAATGCCAACTGTATTTCCAGTCATCATGGCAGGGTATTGGGGAAAGTTTTCAATTACTAATAACCGTGCATCAGATAAACCTCATTGGCTATCATACTGCCACTGTGCAAAGCTATTTTTTTGTATTCTTCGTACAGACTGGATTTCACCATGTTGGCCATGCTGGTGTCTAACTCCTGGCCTCAAGTGATCCACCCTCCTCGGCCTCCCAAAGTACTAGGATTATAAGTATGAGCCACTGCACCCTGGCCTTAGTGTTTGTTTATATAGGTTGTTAAGAATAGTGTTGTCTCTTATAAGGGATTGTGATCAGTTTGTGTCACGCTAGTAGTATTGTTACTTTTCTATGTCACTATTGATTTAACAATAATTTATCAGTGTACTATTATCTTTAGAGTAAAACTTATTTTTACATTCAGAATGCTTTTTGCTTAAAGTACTGGTATATTTTTATAAGTTGTAGGTCTTTATATAGTTATTAACTTGTTCCTGCAACCACAAATATTTTATAACCAAAGGTGGTCAACCCCTAAATATATAATCCAACAAATCCAACGTGTGTGTGTGTGTGTGTGTGTGTGTGTGTGTGTGTGTGTGTGTGTGTTACACAGGGTCTCACTCTGTCTCCCAGGTTTAAATGCTGTGGTATGATCATGGCTGGCTCACTGCAGCCTCAAACTCCTGGGCTCAAGCAATCCTCCCTCCTCAGCCTCCTGGGTAGCTATGACCACAGGCGTGCGCCACCACACCAGCTAATTTTTATATTTTTTGTAGACATGAGGGTCTCACTATTTTCCCAGGCTGATCTTGAACTCCTGATGTCAAGCGATTCTCCCGCTTTGGCCTTCCAGAGTGCTGGGATTACACTCATGAACCCTACACCCTGCCCAGATTTAACTTTTATTTAAAATAAAGTCACTGAGGTTAAGATGCCTCTGACAGTTTTGCATTTTAAATGTGAAGACTATGTTGACTGAATTTTTCCATCAGCTGTAAAATGGGCATCCATGTTTATTTCATTCCGATGGTTTCCAATCAATTGTCTCTTCTTCCTTTTTAGAAACACACGGGCTGGTGAGCTCCGTGTCAGCTTGCATTTCCAGAACGATGGCACTGAACACTCGGCACTCCGACTTCAAGTGGTACAGCAGGATGGCCACCAGAGGGCCCATGCAGTGCCGCCGGCCACCAGCAGAGGGCGTGCTGGAGCAAGGCTGCATAACCGCCTAACAGCCAAGCTCCTCTAACAATCAGAAGCCCGGCTTTACATAGGCTTACAACTTGAGATATCACACAAGAAAGGGTCTTGGGTTTACAGTTTTAGAAATTACATGTGAAAGGGTCTTGGTCCATGGAGTAGGTGTGGGGTGGGGGTTTGAACTTGTTTAAGTAAAAACAATGCCTTCGGGAAAGATTCCCCCACACCATGCCTGTGATCTATAGGAGGGCGATTAAGGTGGCGCCCAGTCGGCCAGCCTTTACTTCTATTGAAATGCAGTGTGGAAGTCAAGGGGGAGGTGATCTTAGATGCTTGGGTCTCCTTCCTCACTAGGTTACCTCCTCCCTGCATACAGCCACTCTCCCATGTGGGCTACTTTCCAGTCTCACTCACAATCGCTCTGAGCAACTGTGGAAAAAGACAGCTATGGAGCCTCTCCCTTCTCCAAGTCACTCTGCTGATAGACCTGCATAACTCATCTCACTGAACCCTATACTGCCCTGGGAAGAATACCTCTGCCACTGTATTTTAGACAAAGACTATGATGCAGTCAGGCACGGTGGCTCACACCTATAGTCCCAGCACTCTGGGAGACTGAGGCAGGTGGATCATGACAACAGGAGTTCACTGTTGGAAACAATGGATGTCAATCCATGAGAAACAATATTATTGCAGAGGGCTCCAGAATAATGATCTCAAAGGAGCACTGAAAAGCTAGCAGAATGAAAAACTCCCTTTTCTCCAGGTCAGAGATGTGAGGAAAATCAGCAAGGAGGGAGTCATGCCCTTGGCATAGAAGCAGCTTGTTCCTTGGGAAAAGAGGTAGATTTGGAAGAGCAGGCCAAAGTTGGACAGTAAGCCAAAAGGAAATATTGCTGAGGAGAGTCAAGAGGCTGGGGACTTGAGCATACATTTTGGGAGTACCCATAGATGACAAAAGGAGAAACATGTCATAAACCCAGCTTCAAATGGCGCTTTGGCATAAAATAATTTTGCTGCCCAAATTGACATTTAATTTTGGTTGAAATGAAATAGACATACCAGCCATCAACTTTTAACCATGTAATTAACCAGCTCTGAATAATGCCATGTCTTTTTACTTTAATGCTCTTTTGAAAATGGGTAATAAATGAACAATGTACAGAATTCAAAAGTCACAGAATAGGATGGACCTTGAGAATATTGTGCTAAGTGAAACAAACCAGTTACAGAAAGACAAATACTATATGATTCCACTTACATGTGCTATCTAGAGTAGTCCAATTTATAGACTCAGAAAGTAGAATGGTGACTGCTGAGGGCAGGAGGAAGTATTAAGTACTTGTTTAATGGCTATGAAAAAGTTTTGGAGATTGGTTGTACAACATGAATATACTTAACACTACTGAACTGTACCCTTAAAAATGTTTAAGGTAGTAAGTTTTGGCATATGCATTTTATCACAATTAAAAATTTAAGTCACAAATTAGTTTAGAAAATATCACCCAATTGTGCCTTGTAGCCACTCAGTTCCACTCCTCAGAGACAGCCAGTATTAGGATATAGTCTCTTCTTTCCAAATATATTCTATCTATACAAATATATGCTTGCAAATATATGCCTTTTGAGATAAAACACATCCATGTACAAATAGTAGCGTATACTACACACACTGTTCATGCACTTTGGTCTTTTCATTTACTACACCTTAGAGACTTTACTAAATTACTTCATGTAGAACTGCCTTACTCCTTTTAAGACCTGCTACTGATTCATTATATGACTATATCAATTACTTTACTAGTTCCCTACTTATGGATAATCAGGTTTTGTAAGAACTTTTATGCTTACAAACACAGCAATGAATACCTTCGTCTTATTTTTAACCCCCACATATGGAAGAGTGTGTGTAAATATGTTATATGCCTAGGATAAAACTGCTAAAACAAAAGTTATGTTCATTCTTCATGTGTGACTGCATGTAGGCACACTATATTTACATAAAAATATGCATTGAAGTACAGCATACATTCAGAATAGTACAAAATTCTTAAGTTCATAGCTTGATGAATTTTCCCAATATAATCCTACCTAACAGAGATTTTAAAAAAAATTATAAGCCTCCAAAAGCCCCTCATGTCTCCATCCAGTAAGCTCCCCAAGAATACTACTACCCTGACTTCCAACACCACAATTTTGTCTGTTTTTAACTTTTATTTTTGTTTGGCTCTTTCATGTAACATTATGTTTGTGAGTCATTCATGTTGTGTGAATTGAAATTCATTCTTATTGCTCTATAATATTCCATTATGTAAATATATCACAACTTATCTAAACTTATCTATACTACAAAAGATATGTACATTCTTTCCCCCCCCCATTTATTTACTTTACTGCATTTTCAGTTTTGGGGTACATGTGAAGAACAAGCAAGATTGTTGCATAGGTACACATGCGGCAGTGTGATTTGCTGCCTTCATTCTTAAATTTTAATAAATATTCAATTGCTCTCCATAGAGTTTAGATTCTTATCATTAATATATGGAAGTAGCTATTTTCCTACACCTTAGCCAACAGCTAATCAAACTTCTTAATCTTGGCTAATTGGATATTTTTTTTTAATTTTTTTTTTTTTTTGAGACGGAGTTTCGCTCTTGTTACCCAGGCTGGAGTGCAATGGCGCGATCTCGGCTCACCGCAACCTCCGCCTCCTGGGTTCAGGCAGTTCTCCTGCCTCAGCCTCCCGAGTAGCTGGGATTACAGGCACGTACCACCATGCCCAGCTAATTTTTTGTATTTTTAGTAGAGACGGGGTTTCACCATGTTGACCAGGATGGTCTCGATCTCTTGACCTCATGATCCACCCGCCTCGGCCTCCCAAAGTGCTGGGATTACAGGTGTGAGCCACTGCGCCCGGCCTAATTGGATATTTTTAAAATGTTTTCAGTATAGTTTCAATTTGCTTTTCTCTTATAATGACTGACTGAGGAAGATTTCACACATTTATGTATAAAAGCCACTTGTCTTTCCTTTGAACTGCCTCTGAATGTGCCCACTCAGCCTTTTCTACCAGTAAGTGATCCTGCCTTGTAGAGGAAATTAGCCCTTTGAACATGCTGCATGGTAACTACTTTTTCCCAGCTCATTACTGGAGTCCCAATTTTGTTTATACTAGTTTTTGCCATGTCTAGGTTGTCTGCTTTCGGGGTTTTTGTTTGTTTGTTTAAGACAAGAAGTCTTGTTCTGTCACCCAGGCTGGAGTGCACGGCAGTGGTGGGATCTCGAGGGCTCATGCCTGTAATCCTAGCACTTTGGGAGGCCAAGGCGGGTGGGTCACTTGGGGTCAGAAGTTGAAAGCCTGCCTGGCTGACATGGTGAAAACCCCATCTCTACTAAAACAACAACAACAACAACAACAAAAAATTAGCCAGGCGTGGTGGCAGGTGCCTGTAATCCCAGCTACTTGGGAGGCTGAGGCAGGAGAATCGCTCGAACCCGGGAGGTGGAAGTTGCAATGGGCTTAGGCGACACCACTGTACTCTAGCCTGGAAGAGAGAGAGACTTCATATATATATATGACATATATATCACATCTATATCATATATATATCACATCTATGTCATATATATGCCACACATATATGATGTATAACATATATACCATATATCACATATATATTATATATGTGATATATATGTGATATCTATCATATATGTGGTGTGTATACATATGTATCATATATATGTAATATGTATATCATATATATGTGATATGTATCGTGTATATTGTGATATATCACATATGTATGTGATACATCATATACATCTCATGTGATGATATATGTGATCACATGATATATATATCATATGTGATATATATCACATGTTATATGTGATATGATATACATATCACAAT